ACAGGGAGAGTGCATTTTAAGTGCCACCTTCTACTACTGATATTTTCTAATGAATAAGCAACTTTCCTCACTGGAAGAGAGCGTAATATACGTAGTATGTCTGAATATATCATCTATTAGGATTATGTGCTTAGTTTGGGAATTTTGTTGTTGTTCAGTCGCTCAGTACTATCCAACTTTGTGACCCCACGGACTGCAGCACGCCAGGCTAACCTGTCTTTCACTGCTTCCCATAGCCTGCCCAAACTCATGCCCATTGAGTCGAAGAGGCCATCCAACCATCTCATCCTCCGTCGTCCCCTTCTCCTCCTGCCCTCAGTCTTACCCAGCATCAGGGTCTTTTCCAGTGAGTTGGCTCTTCACATCCATATACATTTTTTTTTTCTTTGGATGAGGACCATGTTTAAAGTCTGTATTGAACTTGTTACAATATTGCTTCCTTTTTCTGTTGTTTGACCGTAAGGCATATGGGATCTGAGCAGCACCCCCCAAATGGGATCAAACCCACACCTCCTGCATTGGAAGGTGAAGTCATAACCACCAGACCACCTGCGAATTCCCTCTACTTCTTGTCAAAGAGAACTTTGGGACAGTAATCGTGAACACTCTGAAGGAGCCTTGAAAGGTTGAAAGGGTTAGTTCCTCAGTTGTGTCCAACTCTTTGAGATGTCATGGATGGTAGCCCACCAGGCTCCTCTGTCCATGAGGATTCTCAAGGTAAGAATGCTGGAGTGGGTTGCCACCTCCTTCTCCAGGGGATCTTCCTCACCCAGGGATGGAACCTGGGTCTCCTGCATTGCAGGTAGATTCTTTACCACTTGAGCTACCAGGGAAGCCCTTGGAGATGTCCTATCCCATCTCTTGAGATTTATGTACGTAAGCATTGCAGACCCTTATCTAGAAGTCTCTGATCAGAGTGAAGGGTGAGTGTACACATTTCAAGTTCCTTTTACAGAGTACCAGTGGTCATTCATAATTACTGTGACAATTTTTTTTTTATCATCTATGATTTCCAGGTCTACAGTGAGAGTAATTCATCCATGAAACCATAGGATACCCTAGGAAATATGAACCCACAGTTGACCTGATGGAAGCTGATGTTCACTCTCCCTGCCTTCCCCAATCCTCCACTCCACCCCACCCCATTTCCTAAGGTGCTGATCCACTTCCCAGGTGGTAATCCAATTACTGTATTAGTTTGCAGGGGATAAAGACTCAACTAACACTTTCCTGTATCTTTTCCTCTCTCTCTGCTTTTCTGTCTTTCCCCCTCCCCATCTCACCATGTCCTTAACCTCACACCTAGAGAAAAGATACAGAGGGAAATGGCAACCCACTCCAATATTCTTGCCTGGGAAATCCCATGAACAGAGGAGCCTGCTGGGCTATCGTCCACAGGGTGACAAAGAGTTGGACACAACTGAGCGTGTAGGTGATAGAGAAAAGCAATGATCTTTATGCTTTCTGATTCATTTCAAATTACTACAAAAGTAAGTCAACTTTCCTGTATTACTCCCACAGAGTCGATATTAGTTCAGTTCAGTTCAGTTTAGTTCAGTTCACTCAGTTGTGTCCGACTCTTTGCGACCCATTGGACTGCAGCACACCAGGCCTCCCTGTCCATCAGCAACTCCCAGAGTTTACTCAAACTCATGTCCACCGAGTCGGTGATGCCATCCAACCATCTCATCCCTCTGTCGACCCCTTCTCCTCCCGCCTTCAATCTTTCCCAGCATCAGGGTCTTTTCCAATGAGTCAGCTCTTTGCATCAGGTGGCCAAAGGACTGGAGCTTCACCTTCAGCATCAGTCCTTCCAATGAACATTCAGGACTGATCTCCTTTAGGATGGACTGGTTGGATTCCTTGCAGTCCTAGGGACTCTCAAGAGTCTTCTCCAACACCACAGTTCAACAGCAAAGTATATCACATATAAGATCCTAAATGAAATCTGAAATAGGGGAAGCTGGAATTATAAGGGTCTTATAAGACCCAGTATGGAATCTGAAATAGGAGCACAGCGCCTAAAGCTTTCCCTTCTCCTAACCCACATCAGTACATTCACATCAAGTTTATTGTTTTGATGAGCTTCTGAGAAAACAGGAGAGTGGGCCAGCTCTAGGTTGAACACTTTTTTTTTTTTCCAGACAAAACACAAACGTCCTAAAAGGAAGTTCTCTAAATTATAGAAGAAAGTCTTGTCTCTGAACCAGCACGTCTGATACCCACATCTGTCCCCAAAGGCAAGAATTAGTTCTGTAGAGTTTCCAACATAAGTTAATGCGCAGTTTAAAAGCTATTAGGCCAAACTCCTTTTATTATAATTAATTGCAAATTAGAGAAGCACATTCATTTTTTAAAGTTAGCTCATTTGCATACAGATTGTATGTACATATATGCAGAATAAATATTCTTTCCACTTCAAATTCTGTTCATTTATAGCAGTATATTTCTTCTGAAAGTTAGGGTTTTCTCCCCAAAGATGAGAATGATTCAGTTAAAACTCTCTTCTAGTTTTTACTAGAAAAAGCTTTTGGAAAGCATCCTAAAATCATTCCTCTTTCCACTAGGAAGCTAATAAAGTGTGAAGCCAGAACACACACACACACACACACACACACACACACACACACACACACCCCGAATCTAACAAGAAAAATGCTTTGGAAGAAATAGTATTTTTATTACTTTTTTAATTATATTTAATCTCTTGCCTTAGAAGTAATAAAAATTATTTTTTTCTTTTCGAATTTATTTTGCTTTAGAGAAGCACAGATTTCTCTGCATTTTCATGCCAAAAGAAAAGATACTTGGTGAGTTCCGAATGGCACAGGATAAAAAGTAATCATTTTCGATTTGGAGGGAAAATGGTATTTCTATAAAAATGATGATCCCTAACTCTGTAAATTGAGCACAGTGGAGATAACCAGTCCACCAGCTCCAGACATCCAATGCTGGTTTGTAGAAGTAAGCTATTAAAGTAACTGTCACTTATTTCAATGAAAAAAAAAAATTACGTAGTTTTACAATTTTGTTATTTTAATTTTGTCTTACTTGTTCATGTTTGAACTTCCAACTTAGACATTATTCTTCTCTTCTTAAGCAGCATCATACTTCAAAAGTGCTTTTTTCCTAAAAATGAAATTTGTTTTTTTTTTAAATGCAGAAACTTGAGTCTAAATAACCTATTAGACCACATCATTTAAAACAAGCAAACAAAAGAAAAAAAAAAACTTCACTAGACTGGGATCTTATTTCTAGCCACTCAACATGAAGGATTATTATTTTCTAGATCCAACAAAAGTAATTCTCCAATATGCTTTAGCTTTATCATTGTTGGAGTAGGGCATCGCAACCCACTCCAATATTCTTGCCTGGAAAATCCCATGCACGGAGAAGCCTTACAGGCTATAGTCCATGGGGTCACAGAGTCTGAGCGACTAACACTTTATCACTGTATTATCCACTCACGACACGATGCCTTAAAATCAGTGGCTTGGTAATAGCATGTTGGCCAAAGACACTGATTTCAGAGCCATTTTTCTTTTAAGCACATGCAGAGAGGTGTGCTGACTGGTTTCTTTGGGAACCTTGCAATGAATTCCTTTTAGTAAATGTGAGCATCAGCGTCTGGTATTTAAATTACCTATCTTTCTCGCACGTATTACATTCACAGAGGGAAAGTAAATTAAAATAGCACATGCTTCCTGGTCCACATGTTAAACAAATATTTTCTTACGACAAAGGGAAAGGAAAATATAAATTTGTGTTATATGTTTAACAAAAAAAAAAAGAAAATCATGTTAACGCAAAATACCAAAGGTGAACAAGAATTAACCATTTTCATTTCATGAGATTAAATAGTGAATAACACATTGGGGAGAAAAAGATGTTAAGGTATGCATATACATTTGTATTACATACACTGCATTATAATATATGATATTGAAAATGGTACATTATATATTAAAATGTGTGTTTTACAATTATAACTTATAATTATTTGTTATTACTTAGAAATAGCTGTAACAATTGACTATATTTATATTATTAATTATATTAGAACAATTACATATGTAATATATATAACATAAATGTATATTATATATATATGACATAAATGTATAAGCTAGTGAAAGTTAAAGTCAATCGGTTGTGTCTGACTCTTTGTGACCTCATGGACTATACAGTCCATGGAATTCTGCAGGCCAGAATACTGGAGTGAATTGCCATTTCTTCCTCTAGGGGATCTTCCCAGCCCAGGGATGAAACCCCCGCCTCTTGCACTGAAGGCAGATTTTTTCCCGTCTGAGCTACCAGGGAAGCCCACAGTTAACAATACTGTGTTGCATATTTGAGGTTACTAAGAGAGTTGATTTTAACAGTCCCCATCATAAGGATAATAGTTTGTAACGATGCATGTGTTGGATGTTACTTAGATTTATTGTGGTGATCACTTCACAGTGTATACACAAACTGAATCACTATGTTCTATGCCTGAAATTAATGTAATGCTCTATCTCAATTAAGTCTAAGAATAAATTTTAAAACACATATTATATTTATCTGAGAAACCTCAAAAATTAATCCCAACCCCACCCCTGACTCAGAAACTGCTGTTTTTGCTGTGGAGACTCACCCTGTATCATATTTGAAATCCTTTGTATCATCAGAGATTCTACCATCTAAATAAAGAGGGTTAAGAGGCTTCTGGGCTTCCCTGGCAGCTCAGAGGTAAAGATTCTGCTTGCAGTGCAGGAGATGCAGGTTCGATCCCTGGGTCGGGAAGATCCCCTGGAGGAGGACATGGCAACCCACTCCAGTGTTCTTGCCTGGAGCATCCCATGGACAGAGGAGCCTGGAGGGCCATAGTCTGCAAAGAGTCAGACAAGACTAAGCGGCTAATACAACATGCCTCTCAAGAGGACGTGATAAACATCATTGAGCCGCGCATTTTCCCAATGGCTTCAGTGCCCTGGATTTCCTGACTCTCCGTGTTGACGATGCTGGAACAGACACACAGCCAGGAGGAGAGGGGGTCACGGATGACCGCTGTCCCCGAAAAGGAACCGGCTTTGACGGTGCCGCTCTGCTTCCCGGACAGATGCCGTCATCATGGCTACAACCTCAGCACCACGCTCCTCCCGCTGAGAGGGGCCACTGCCTTGTCTGGGTACTATCTCCACGAAGACCCCGTGTTTCCTCTCTCCGTGTCCCTTCCTTATTCTTACCTCCGTCAGCAAGAGAAGAACTGCTCTGGGCGTGAAATCCCTGTGCCTTCCTGACGGAGTTCCCAGGCTGAGGGCCCTTCCAGGCTGTGTTCCAGCAACTCTGATTCCTTCTCAACTTACCCACAAGCCTCATCAACTGCTCACCTACGTATCTGAGAAACGCCACAGGGACCCAAACTCACGGGGTCTGATTTAGTCCTTCCTTATGGAAAGTCGCCGTGTCCTTCCTCACTGCAGCAGTCCTGGTGGGGGTTGCTGGTTTAGCCGTTAAGTCGTGTCCGACCCTCTGCGACCCCACAGACTGTAGCCTGCCAGGCTCCTCTGTCCATGGGGATTCTCCAGGCAGGAATACTGGCATGGGTAGCCTTTCCCTTCTCCAGGGGATCTTCCTGACCTAGGGATCAAACCCAGGTCTGCTGCATTGCAGGCAGAGTCTTTACCAACTGACCTTCAGGGAAGCCCCTACAGCAGTTCTACTCATTATCAATTTATCATCAATTAAATGTAAGGAGCAATGCCCAATCAGCACATTACAAATGCTGAAACAAGAGGGACCGCTTATGTACTCAGAACATCGTTTTTCCCATTCAAGTGTTTCACCATGTTTCTATTCCTTATTAAATTTATTTATTTTTAAGTGAAGGATGATAGCTTTACAATATTCTTTCTGAAAATAGCTTCTTTACTCCTCAACAAATTGTGATATGTGAGATTTACTGATTTGGGCAATTAGCTAATTTTTCATTCATTAGTTGGACCATAAAGAAAGCTGAAAGGAAGTGAAAGTCGCTCAGTCATGTCCAACTCTTTGTGACCCCATTTGACTATACAGTCTATGGAATTCTCTAGGCCAGAATACTGGAGTGGGTAGCCTTGAGCATCCAAGAATTGATGGTTTCAAAATGTGGTGCCGGAGAAGGCGCTTGAGATTCCCTTGGACAGCAAGGAGATCCAACTAGTCCATCCTCAAGGAAATCAACTCTGAATATTTATTGGAAGGACTGATGCTGAAGCTGAAGCTCCAATACTTTGGCCACATGGTCCTCATCAAAAAAAAAAAAAAAGGTCTTTAAAAAAAAAAAAGAATGTAAATGTATATGAAGAGCCAACTCAGTAGAAAAGACCCTGATGCTGGGAAAGACCGATGTCAAGAGGAGAAGGGGACGACAGAGGGTGAGACGGTTGGATGGCATCACTGAATCAATGGACATGAGTTTGAGCAAGCTCTGGGAGATAGTGATGGACAGGGAAGCCGGGCACCCTGCAGTCCACGGGGTCACAAGGAGTCAGACAACAACATTGAGAGTGAACAAAAACAGTCACTGGTTGACCCACTGGAACTATTTTTATATATTTATAGATTTTATAAGGGGTTCGCTGGTAGCTCACCTAGTCAAGAATCCGCCTGCAATGCAGGAGACCCTGGTTTGATTCCTGGGTCGGGAAGATCCCCCGGAGATGGGATAGGCTACCCACACCAGTATTGTGGGGCTTCCCCGGTGGCTCAGTTGGTAAAGAATCCACCTGCAATCCGGGAGACCTGGGTTCAATCCCTGAGTCGGGAAGATCCCCTGGAGAAGGACATGGCAACCCACTCCAGTATTCCTGCCTGGAGAATCCTATTGACAGAGGAGCCTGACAGGCTACAGTCTATGGGGTTGCAAAGAGTCGGATACGACTAAGCACAGCATAGCAAAGACTTTATAAATGCATGACTTTAAGTGATGAACTTGCTCCTCAGCGTCCCAGCGGCCACGATCTGCAGGGTCTTAGCAATTCTGAGTTCCAGTACGTCTGAGTCTCTGTCTGGAAAGATAGACCACGGGCCTCCACGAGAGACAGGGAGAAACAAGAAAAGTCCTAAACGAATGCACTGAAATTCTCCACCACACCCTGTGGAGGAACTGTCAGGCTGGATCCGGTATCACTGATTTTCTTTCAATCACAAATACTTCAGAGCAATTTGAGGGAAGTGAGCCAGACATGACTGAGCAACTGAACTGAAAAAGTGAAGGACCAGATATCAGGACCCTATTCTTAAAGAACAAACTTTTTTTCTCTCGTGTCTTCCAAAAAGGAAAAAATAACATTAAAAAAAACCAAACAGTTGTTTTGGTGATGTGAATAGACTGGGTGACTTGCAGGGGGATTGTTTAAATGCTGAAGGGCAGTAAGAAGACAGGGCAACGGCTCAAGGGAATAAGGGAGCTTCATATACAGGTTCGCATAATGAAAGTCTTTATTCCCCTTTTAAAAGAGCCTATTGTTTCCTTGGGAACATTACTGTTCATATGCAACTGCACTCAGGAGGCCAAGATCATCTGAATCATTTTAATTCTCAGTTAAATTTTTTTTTTAAATGTCTCCGAACTCACTCAAGCGTTGCCAGAATCTGACTTTTTGATGCCCGAAGTATGTCTGTTGCCAAACTGAGAAGGCAAGATTTACCGGGTTTTTTTTCCCCTTGTCTCAGGATTTTATATACTGCAGCTCAGCGTGAAAAGCAATGGGAATTTAACTCTTAAAAAAAAAAAAAATGAAGTCTAGGATGGACTTGCCTGGTGGCAGTGTGGATAAGAATCTGCCCGCCAATGCTGGGGACATGGGTTCGATCCTTGGTCCCAGAAGATCCCACATTCCATGGATCAAGTAAGCCACCACAGTGAGAAGCCTAAATGCCTCAGCTAGAGAAAGCCCACACACAGCAAGGAAGACCCAGCACAGCCGAAGATAATTTAAAAATAAATAAATATTTAAAAAAACCCTTTCTGCATCTAAACACACGACCCCGTGGACTATACAGCCCATGGAATTCTCCAGGCCAGAATACCGGAGTGGGTATCTGTTCCCTTCTCCAGGGGAATCTTCCCAACCCAGGGATCAAACCCAGGTCTCTGGCACTGCAGGCAGATAGATTCTTTACCAGCTTTATGAGCCACAAAGGAAGCCCATCTAAACACACACTCAATGGAAATACAGGGGAAAGACAAAAATAGCTCATCTAGAAGTTGACTGAATGCAAGTTTAGTTCTTGTCCTTCTGACCATCTGAAACTCAGCAGGAGTTCAAACTGCTCTTTTTCTCTCATTTGTTTCCCACCCATCCCATTCAGAGTCTTTTTTTTTTTTTTTTGGTAGCCTATCAACATTTCCACCTACATCAGTTTGAGCAAGCTCTGGGAGTTGGTGATGGACAGGGAGGCCTGGCGTGCTGCAGTCCATGGCGTCACCAAGAGTCAGACACAGCTGAGCGACTGAACTGAACTGAACCTGCATTTTGAGTGGAGGGGTAGAAGCCAGTGAAACTGTAGGATATCCTATGCATTTATGTAACGGTGAGCATCCTGAGGTTTGGCTATAAATACCACTACTGTGGGCTCTGTCATTTTTCAACGGATTCATCTTTCTTTCACCCAGTGAACAAATTATCAGACGGGGGCTCTATTCCCAATCCTGATGTAGGAGTCTGGGTCACTTCAGCAAAGCAAACTGTCACAGGCATCTAGTCCTGAGGCCTCACAGTCAAGGGGAAATGGATGGAGAAAAGAAAAAAAAAAAAAGAATGAATAAAATAAACCACAGACGATGGGAAAAAAATTATAGCTGTTATGGAAAAAAATAATCTGCTCCACCCCCTGAATTCTGTAACAATGGATTATTATACTTGCTTTGCAATTTCATTTTTTTTTTTTAACTTTTTATTTTGCATTGAAGGAGAGCAGCTGAACAGGCTTATCCAGAAGTTGATTGGATTAGTTCTTGTCCTTCCCATCATCTGAAATTTAGCAGGACTTCAAACTGCTCTTTTTCTCTCCTTTACTTGTTTTATTCCCAGGTGGGGCTGGTGGTAAAGAACCTTCTTGTCAATACAGGAGACATAAGAGACAGGAATTCAGTCCCTGGGTTGGGCAGATCCCCTGGAGGAGGGCTTTGGCAACCCACTGTAGTACTCTTGCCTGCAGAATCCCCTGGACAGAGGAGCCCGGCGGGCTATAGTCCACTGGGGTCAGAAAGAGGTGACGGCCACCAAGTGCCTGAGAAACACACATACACACAGCCGACTGACAATGCTGTGACAATTTCCGGCGAACAGCTAAGGGACAAAGCCGGACATTTCATTTCTCACGTAACAAAAACCTGTGAGGTCTGACATAGAATGACTAAAGATTACTAATACTTCCTAGTTTAAAAATCTAAAATGTTTCCGGGTAGATCGGACACTTAAGTGTAGAACTGTTAGAACCAATTTTATTGAAGATTTGATTACAAAAGGATCTTATTGAATGCTTATAATAAACGAATGATAGGTTAGATCGGTAGCTTCGTTGTTTATTAATCAGAAAAACATATGGAGTTACAAAAAGGAAGAGACCCTGATGTGGGAAAAATTGAAGGCAAGGGGAGAAGGGGACGACAGAGGATGAGATGGTAGGATGGCATCACCTACTCGATGGACGTGAGTTAGAGCAACTTCACCAGGGAGATGGTGAAAGGACAGGGAAGCCTGGCGTGCTGCAGTCCATGAGGTCACAAAGAGTCAGACATAGCTAATGACTGAACAACCACAAAATCTATATGCTAAATCCTAATGCCTTGTTTCTTTATTGACTCTACCCCCATTCAAAAATAACAAGTATTTTTTTTTTTAGGGAATGTATTGTACAGCACAGGAAAACATAGCCATGATGTTGCAATAACTTTCAGTGCAGTATAATCTATAAAAGAGTAATACTACTATACTCAAAACGTAATGTATTTACTTGGTACATTTCCTGCCTTATTTGTTACATATATTTGACAGTCATGTTAGTTTCTTACTCTCTTTTACTTGGGGTAATATCATTGAAAAAAAAAAAAAAGAGCAAACGACAACCTAGCAAGCCCCCTAACTTAACCACCATGCAGTATGATTATTATCTTTACTGACTTAATGCTGATGCTGCTGCTAAGTCACTTCAGTCATGTCCGACTCTGCAGACGGCAGCCCACCAGGCTTCCCTGTCCCTGAGACACTCCATGCAAGAACACTGGAGTGGGTTGCCATTTCCTTCTCCAATGCATGAAAGTGAAAAGTGAAAGTGAAGTCGCTCAGTCGTGTACTGACTTAATACTGTAATGCAAAATAATAAATCTTAGAACACCATCTAAAATTTCTCCCAGGAAAAATTAAATATGTGACAGTATAAGCCCATATAATCTATAATTTACCAGTTGATGCGTTATCACAGGACAACATAAAGGAAGTTAATAATACTTTTTATTGCCTAGTGATACTTTCCCTTGATTTCCCTGGTGGCTCAAGTCGGTAAAGAATCCACCTGCAATGCAAGAGACCACCTGCAATGCAGGGGACCCAGATTTGATCCCTGGATCAGGAAGATCCCATGGAGGAAGAAACGGCAACCCACTCCAGTATTCTTGCCTAGAAAATTCCACGGACAGAGGAGCCTGGTGGGCTGTGGTCCATGGGGTGGCAAGAGTCGGACAGGACTGAGCGACTAAACCACCACCAATCTATAAAAATACGGAATCAGTCTGTTGTACATCTGAAACGAATGTAATAATGTAAATTAATATATAGTAAAAAGGAGAAAACAAACAAACAAAAAGATCCAAATGCCCAAAATGATAGTACTTGGGGATGGAGCCTTTGGGAGTTGATGGAGCCTCCTAAGGGGATTAGTGACTTTACAGAAGAGACTCCCCCCAGAGAGAAGGACATGGCAACCCACTCCAGTATCCCGGCCTGGAAAAGTTCATGGACAGAGGAGCCTGGCTGGCTGCAGTCCATCGGGTTACATGACTGAGCAAGAGGGCATGAGGGTGGAGGGAGACGGGTTGGTAGCAATAAACTGGTAGAACTAAAAAAGAAAAAAAAGAGAGAGCGACTCCAGGGAGCCACCAGCCCCTTCCACCTGGTGAGGTCATGCCTAGAAGACAGCCTTCTGTAAAGGGGTGTCTTTTGTGAAGGGATGCCTTCTGTAAAGGGGTACCTCCCCAGACCATGAATGTGATGCTGCTCTGATGTTGGTTCCATGTGGGAAGTAAACATCTGTGGTTTACCAGTCAAGCCAATCTGTATATTCTGTTACAACAGCCTGGACCGGACTAAAATCGCATGTTGCAACTGTATCTCAAGCTTGAATTATGACTGAAAGCAAGACGCTGGTTGAGGAATGGCCAAGAGAGTCTTGGAGAGGGAGCTTTCACCGTCTGCAGTGACAGAACCCTGTCTCCTCCCAGGAGCTGATTAAAGAGGCTGATCCGCAGACCCTGGTCCTGATGTTCTGGGGGGCGGGCTGGGTGTGGGGCTCGGGGAGATCCCCCATCTCCTGGGAGGGTGGGAAGAGCAAGCCAAGAGCATGTCCTTGCAAAGGCCAGCCTGTGTTCAGTCTGCACAGCTCAGCGGGCCTTGCTGCCTGCCAGACGTCATGCCCACTCTGCCTGCGGAGACTCCAGCTGTAACATGATCCGAGCCACACTGGCCAACACGAGTTCTCCGGGGAGACCTCCGACCCCTCCCAGGTCCCGCTGGGTGCCCGTGAGCAGAGCCCAGCTCTGCAAGGCTCCATGGAGACCGGATATGCGGCTGCACCCGGGAATTCCAGGAGGCCTGCGGGGAAGGCTGGAATGCGGAGCTTCGGTTTGCACGGAAGTCGCTGCATTGAAAGGGGGAGCGGGACAGCCCGGCGGGGAGCCCTGCCTACAGTCAGGCCGGCTGAGGTGGGGGGCGCCCGGGGGGTGGGGGCTGAGGACGCGGCGTGGGGGGCGGGGGCGGGGGGCGGCCCGCTCAGGAGCCCCTGGGTGGAGCCACGGCTGACCCGGGGAGAGACGCCCTGCACGGGGAAGGGGCTCCTCTGCGACTCGGACCCTCTCCCTCAGTCTGTGCCTCTCCGGACCACACCCCACTTGCTCTCCGCCTGTGTGTCTCTCCCTCCGCGCTTGTCTGTCTGTCTGTAGCTCCTTAACTCTCTCTGTCTCCCTCTCTCTCTGTTCCTCTCTCTCTCCCTCTCTCTGTCTCTCTCTATCCCTCTCTCTCTTCACTTTCTCTCTCTCAAAGTGGAGTTCACTTGTCCCCCAAACAATGCTGAAACCGTCCTGAATCCTCCATGCATGAAGCCATTCATCTCAAATTCTTGGCAGTAATTCAGTCAACGCTTAAATACAGGATAAGAGACAGTCCCCAGCTGCATAGTATTCACCAAAGGAAAAAAAAAGGATGATACCCCCTGCCTGCCATCCATCTGAGGATGAAGCGAGACTACAAAGCCATCTCACGCTGCGTGCTGAAATGGTGCTAATAAAGGCGTGTGCTCCTGCAGGAGAGGTGGGAGGGAACCCTCCACTGGAAGGAATTGCCGTTAATTACACTTCCCTATTTCCATTCCAACACAGACACTGTGTAGCTCTGCACAACGCCAAGTCCTTGAATTAATATTCTTTCCTTTGTGCCGGGGTGTTGGAAAACAAAGTGGGATTTTTAGTTATTTTAAAGGGAAAGATTACATGAAATTATCACAATGTATGTATTTTATGTATGTTTTATAAATATGTATGCATATATACATATACGCATATATTTTATGTATATAGACAGAGAGAGAGAGAGAAAGGGCTTCCTGGATAGCTTAGGTGGTAAAGAATCCACGTGCAATGCAGGAGACCCCGGTTCGATTCCTGGGTTTGGAGGATCTGCTAGAGAAGGGAACGGCTACCCACTCCAGCATTCCGGGGCTTCCCTTGTGGCTCAGCTGGTAAAGAATCTGTCTGCAATGTGGGAGACCTGGGTTCAGTCCCTGGATTGGGAAGATCTCTAGAGAAGGAGATATATATATACACATTCAGAGACAGGAAATATGTATGTGTGTGTATATATATATATGTGTGAGTGTGTGTGTGTGTGTGTAGAGAGAGATGAAATATTTATATATACATATATGTATATATAGAGAGGAAATATGTTTATATATGTATAAAGAGAGAGAGAAAATATGTATAGATATACATAGAGGAATATACATATATATATAGTCTGTGATTCATATGTTGGGGCTGCATATTTCTTTTAGGGGCTTCCCAGGTGGCATTAGTGGTAAAGAACCTACCTGCCAATACATAAGACCTAAGACACCCGGGTAGATCCCTGGGTCAGGAAGATCCCTTGGAGGAGGGCATGGCAACCCACTCCAGCATTGTTGCCTGGAGACGCCCAAGGACAGAGGAGCCTGGTGGGCTATACAGTCCATAGGGTTGCAAACGGAGACAGAGAGGACTTAACAATTAGATAATCCATGAAGTGTACATATAGCAATTTCTGTCTAACTATCCATCCATGGGGCTGCAAAGAATAGGACACGACTGAGCACGCACACACACACACGTGAACTTCACAAAACACAGGATGAACTGTCCCTACATAACTGAACAGAACATGAGATTTCTGCAAGGATTCAACCTCCCCGATTGCAGAATAAGTAGTGCATCTCTGATTCACAGTGCAAGTAGGCAGTTCCACTTAAATAGCACCAATTGTCAGTCTAAAAGAGCAACAGGTCCTTACTGATTTCCTCGGAGGTGTCTGTCACCGTGTTATGGAATGATTACTGCCTGCTTGCAGAGAAGACAGCTCTTGTTATTGTCTGAAAAAAAATTAAAAACCACCTTCTGGTCAACCAAACCATGTCTCTCTCACCCTAACATATTTCAGAGCATGGAGTAGCTGCAAACCAGGTCCGAACCCTACGACCCTGCAGAGAGCTGATGCTCTGAGTATATGTTCTGTCATTTGATGTCACGTCTTCTGTGTTGGCTCCATGAGGACCTTCATAAAGGGTCTCACCCGTCAGTGGAATTCTTCACCAATTTTCATTGTACTTATACATAATTCATTGTATATACAATGTATATACATATACATTGTACTCATACGGATTCACTTTGTGTAAAAAGTAATTGTAACGATAAGGAATGTAGTCTTTGGGCATATCAATCATCATATTGCCAATGATATATCTATCATAATGTACAGATACAATGTATAATACATTAATACATCATATAATATTCACTAGCATAGTAACATGATTTTTCTATTATATGGCTTCTTTCTTTCACTGTTCTCAAAGGATTGATGTGATGAAATATAAAGCATTTATTTTGCATGAAAATGATTCTTTAAATTAACTAATTTTAATTGGAGGCTAATTATGTTACAATATTGTGGTGGTTTTTGCCATACATTGCCATACATTCAAACACTGACATGAATGAGCCACAGGTGTACATGTGCCGCCGTAGGAAATGACTTTCTAAATAGCGTATCATTCAGTTCAGTTCAGTCACTCAGTCATGTCCCACTCTTTGCGACCCCATGGACTGCAGCACACCAGGCCTCCCTGTCCATCACCAACTCCTAGAGTTTACTCAGACTCATGTCCATTGAGTCGGTGATGCCATCCAACCATCTCATCCTTATGACATCCTTATATTCGGCTGGTCAAAAAGTTGATTCAGGTTTTTTGAAAACAGGTGTTAACACACAAAAAAATGAACAGACTCTCCGGCCTACCCAATACCACCTTAATAAATGAAACTATATCACTCTGTTAATATATTAATATTATGTATAACATATAACTGGACTTCCCTGGTGGGTCAGATAGTGAAGCCTCTGCCTGCAATGCTAGACACCAGGTTAGCAGGTATCACTATAGAATGTCATAATTCTGTTCTATTTGTTGTTGCAATTTATTCGCTCAGTGGTGTCTGGCTTTTCTGTTACTCCACAGACTGTAGCCCACCAGGCTCCTCTGTCCATGGGATTCTCCAGGTAAGAATACTAGAGTGGGTGGCTATGTCCTTCTCCAGGGGATCTTCCCGAACCTGGGATCCAACATGCATCTCCTTCATTGCAGGCAGATTCTTTACCACTGAGCCAAATGGAAAGCCGTTCTATTATGCAGGGCCACCATATTATTATATTTACACACACTGTCTTTCTATTCTGTGACAAAGTTAAGTGCCTTCTACAGGTCACAGTGACTGCCTTGGGGCACAGACACATTCAACAGAAGTATCTGATTACTGTCTGTACACGTGAAAAGAAGCAAAAATTGTTCCGTGGGAGAAGGTAACGCCTCGTAACAGGATGGGGATGTGACCTCAGCTGTTCACTGGCAGGGGTGAGAACACTGCAGGTGCTGAGAGGGTCGACCCTGGAGTCCCTTCTCATCATCAGGTCGGTTCCGTCACTCAGTCGTGTCCGACTCTTTGCGACCCCGTGGACTGCAGCATGCCAGGCTTCCCTGTCCACCACCATCTCCCGGAGTTTGCTCAAGCTCATGTCCATCGAGTCAGTGATGCCATCTAACCATCTCATCCTCTGTCGTCCCCTTCTCCTTTCGCCTTCAACCTTTCCCAGCATCAGGGTCTTTTCGAATGAGTCAGCTCTTCGCATCAGGTGGCCAAAGGATTGGAGCTTCAGCTTCAGCATCAGTCCTTCCAGTGAACATTCAGGATTTCTCATCTCAGGTGCCCATCTGCTGCCAGTCAGACTGCGGCTGAGTCACATGCCTACCCGCCCACGGCAGGCAGGTACACATGTACTGGCATCGGTTTCGTCCACAGCTGCTTAACAAAAAGCAGGGTGTGCCAGAGACAGAGGCACTGACAGCCATCCAGGGAGTCAGAAATCAAAGCCTCCCAACTTTCCCCTCTAAAGCCTGCCCTGTAACACTGACCCGGGAACATCTCAGACGTTCTCTGCTGAGATGCTGCTGAGAACATCTGCTTGCATGTCGCTGGTCCGTCGAGGACCAGGACATCCCTGTGTCTTAAAAGCCAGGAGCGGGCGATGGGGAGTATTCTGTTCCTCTGAGCTCCTCCCCTGTCTTCCCTCCCTTCCTATCTACTGTTCTGCCCTCTTTCCCGCCCTGCCCTTCCATCCTTCCTCACTCCCTTTCCTTTTCCTTCCCTTTCTCCATCCATCCTTCCTTCCATCCTTCCCCCCCCCACCGCCTCCTTCCTTCCTCCCCCGCCATCCATCATCTCTTACAGTGAGACCACTGAACTGAGCTGTCCGGCAGCTCACAGGAGAGGATCTAAAATTACACTTGTGTGCCTGCATCCTCAGTCGCTTCAGTCGTGTCTCACTCTTTGCGACCCCGTGGACTGCAGCCTGCCAGGCTCCTCTGTCCATGTGATTGTCCAGGCAAGAATGCCAGAGTGGGCTGCCCCTTCCTTCTCCAGGGCATCTTCCCGACCCAGGGATGGAACCCACCTCTCTTTTGTCTCCTGCATCGGCAGGCAATGTCCTTTTTGTTTTCATTTATTTTTATTAGTTGGAGGCTAATTACTACACTGCACAACCTGGGACATTACATCAAAATGTGGGCTGGCGAAATGGAAATGTCCGAGGACTACAGAGAATGAAACAAACATAGAATTTTTTTTTTTTTTTTTGGTGTAACATTATGCCAAAAGATTCCAGCAAGAATGAAAACCACTCTGTAAATGGATCTCCTTGCTGTATCTTTTTGGTCTGCTACATTTCAATTTCATGTGCGGGTGGATTTTATTTTCTTTCTTAAAACACATCTAGGACTTGCTTTACAAGCCTTTCATGAAAATTAATGTAAGAGCGAAGATTTGCATGCATTAGTCTGGGCGCCTTCAATGTGTTAAATCATTTAATCCTCACAAAATTCTGAACCACTCATTACATT